TGCTTCCTCTCCTCCAGGACCTATCACCTCCAAAGGTGCCTCACCAGACTCAGTTGCAGCTGGGTGTTTCGTAGCACACTCGCAAGTGAAGCAAAGCCAGTCATCCCGCCCTTTAACCTCTCTGCCCTATACGCTCTTCCCTTCCCCGCCATGCCATGCTCTCGTTGCCCTTCCCTCTCTCAGGACCCTCGACTCTGAGGGAGCCATTCGCCCATACCTGCATCACAACGTGGCGTTCCAGGCATCCTGACCTCCTGTGTTCTCACCCAGGAAGGCTACTGATCGGCCCAACGCCCAATCTGCTGCCAGCAGCAGCATTCGTGATGCCGCCGGCGCCGCTGGTGATGCCACTGCTTCGACACCAGTGCCACCGGAAGTAGCCCTACAATCTTCCTCCTCCTTCTCCTCCTCGCCCTCCTCCTCATCCTCCCTCTCCCCCTTCCCTCCCCCCTCCCAATCCTCTTCCTGCAATGTCTCCCTGTACACGTACCTTTATCCGATTCGATTGCCTTCCGTACCTTTTCCCATGCAATTTTCGTCTTTCCATGTGTCTTCATGCCTGCCAGGCGCAGTGCCGGGGTTGGTGGTACAAACAGAGAAGGGCAGCAGAGTGGAGCAGGATAGGGAAGGGCGTACCAGTGTGCTATATGCTCCATGAATCACCTAAGGATTCAGTTTGGCTGAAGGATGCCCCATACTCCCTGAATCCCCTAAGACATGCTACTCCCTGACACAAGTGCAACACCACAAACCGAAGGAGATGCATGACACAGGTGCACTGTCACAGACTCACAGGGTAACGGACCAGCAGCCTGTGGCCTGGCAAAGTGCCAGGGCTGCGCGCATGTGAAGGCAGTGGGAAGAGCATTCCAGTAACTTGATCATCACATGGTATTCACCAACACATTTCAACAATGGTGGGTAGATTCTCGTTCCGTAATTCCTTTTGCTTTACTTGCATCCATGCTATTTCAACATTCGATCTCGGTTCAAGAAAGATTATAAATTTCAAATGGAGAATGTGATGTGTGACGTGATACCCCGTGCCCTTCAGCAAACCTGGGAACTATGCCTGATGCAGTAAAACACAACTCAAAGAAAGGAGTAAGCAAGGATGTGGAGGAAATTGTAACAACTGCCCTTGTTGTGCCATACAACCCAAACGCTTTGTAAGGTTTTAGGAGTAAGCAATTTTCAATCGCTAGTCAGAAATGCGGTACTACCGTAAGAGCATGATTGTAGGCATGGCTAACAAATGCATATGCACAAGTGACCCCTCAGTAGACCAGAGTGAGCAAGCGAGCTGGCAGGCTCACACCGCCATCCCCCATTTTCCATCGTTCCAGAAGCCTCACAGCAGAAGCCGGATCAGCCAGAAAAGTTGGATCCTCCCATTCTAGCAGCGCCCTTGCCAACTGGAACAAGTGGCTACCATAGCCCTCTCTGCACCCTTATCCTTCCCACATGACCAAGAATCAGCTCCCGCTCCACAACCCCATCGCCTGCACTGGTTTTTCTCCAGCACTGGTGATGAGATCTGCAAGATAGAATGGGCCGGGGAAGGGGGAGAGACATTAAGGGATAGAGCAAAATGTCTGACACATCAATCCGGATCACAAAACCGCACCAACATGTCACAACACACATCAACACATCACACCCTGTCCCATGCTACCCCAGCGATCCTCACTGCATGCACCCACTTCCGTCCATCCAACCTCACTGCATGCACCCACTTCCGTCCATCCAACCTCACTGCATGCACCCACTTCCATCCATCCAGCCTCACCAAGTAAGTCCTGTCCGACCTCCCACGTTCACCCGCTGGCTCCAATCCTTCCTCTTCCGAGCGATCTACCGTCGATGCGTCCACTCTCAAGAGTGGGAAGCTGGAGGAGAATCTCGTCTGTCTCGTCCTGAAAATTTGGGCATGCAATAAGCTCGAGGGTCCTAAGGTAATCATTCGAATAGATTCTGTACAATGATACCAGGTCGGGGCAGGAACACATAGTCAGCCGCTGCAGCCGTTGCAAATTGTGCCCTTCATTCGGGAAAAAAGCCAGGCGGGGAATGCCATACAGGAGGAGGGCTGAAAGGTTCTTAAGCTCACAAACAGACGAAATGAAGGCGTCAAGCAAACATGTCTCATTCCCCGCATCCCCAGTAGGGCAGCTAGTTGGCCATCCGAACTCAAGCGAGGTCAGGCTCGTTTTCCAGTTTCGAAGCAGGGATGGCGGAATACTGGTGACGCTGTTGCAGTGATTGAAGGAGAAAGATCGAACGTTGGAGAGGCTGGAGAGGGAATCCCGAAGTTGAGTGAGGCTGCTGAGTTGTCGCAGCTCCAAATTCTCCAGAGATGACATGCGATCCATGCCCTCTGGAAGTTCCCTCAGTGCAGAACAATTTCTGATGGTCAGGCTCTTGAGAGAAACGAGATCAGACATGGCGCTTGGGAAACGTTGCACAGCGATTTTCGATAGCTCAAGGACACGTAGCGAAGTAAGTAGGAAAAAGGAATCCGGGAGCATGAAGAGTGACGAGTTGTCTTTTAGAAAGCACTCTTGAAGGTTCTGAAGGCAGCCAATGCTGTTAGGAAGGTCCTCCAGATCGGCTACATCGGATAAGGTAAGTTTGATTAGCGAACGAAGGCCTCCGAAGGACTCGGGCAGGTGGTGTAAGAGCGTGCAGCGTAACATTTGCAGCTCGGTCAGCCCGGTGAGAAGACCAAAAGATTCGGGGAGACCGCAGGAAAGGTAGGTCAGCGTAAGCTTCTTCAAGCATCTCAGCTTGCTAAATTTATCAGGAAGGCTCGGAAAAGCGACTTGCAAATTGACCTCCGTCAGGGAAGACAGATCGAAGAAGGATGGTGAGAGAAATGCGGGGGACGCAACAACGTCCAGTGCGAGATGCTGTAACCCAGTGCAAGCTGTAAAAACCGCATTCAGACCATCCCAAACCAAAGCAGCACTATCATACAGGTTTGCGAGGTCAAGACGAGTCAACCTGGGACATGCAGATCCGAGGCTGAAAAGAAACCCGCACTCGTCGTCAAAAGAGCAACTGTTTATCGTTAGAGACGTCAATTTCGTAAACTTTGACAGGTATTTGAGAAGGTCAGTGTCTGCTTGAATCGCGTCATCCCTGCTGGAGCGCATGGAGATAGACGCCTGGGAAAGATAAGCGAGGCGACGCCATCGCTTGCAGACCAAGGCGTGGTTCAAACTGCTAGGCGTCTGCTGGCTCAGTAGACCGAAAATGATGCAGAGGAGATCATCAGATAGATGATCGAAGAGCGAGGACAACGCGAATCTACCACGGCACGGCGATGCTAGGGTCAACGACGATTGGTCTCTTTCACAAGTCGACATCGCTCACACGATACGGAGACAGCAATTACGTGAAGGTTGGAATGAAGTTCGGAAGACGAGATCTGAAGACTTACTGCTGGTTGGGTTATGTTCCTCTTCGACCCCCTCGTCCGGCTGACAGACGAGAGACTGAAGAAGCAGGAGGTTCTCGAGACTTGGAAACAAGAGGCCCGCTAAATCTGGGAAACAAATGGACCCCGAATCTCAGGCCTTGGCCTGAGAAGAACAACTCCTTCCTTTCTCCTTAGCTCTCGTTCATACGAACGCCAACGGAGCTGGCGGGGGGACACATTTCGTGCATGCTATTCCACGTCAGAATCGACCCAGTTCTGGCCCACGCGGAGTGACTATGTGGGATGACTAGATGGTATACGCCGTAATTTTCTATGAATCCTAGATTCTCGATCTAGCTCCAACCTGCTTAGGGCGTGTTACATTTTTCATTTTTTTTGTCCGGATGGCCAACCGTCCGGACGATTGTGTGGTTACAGAACTCGTAAATTCTCGGCAGTGAGCTCGTCAGGGTCTAAACGACGTCGTATTCTTCGTATTGCCTCACGACATCGTTTTGGTCGCAAAGCGAACGTGCGACGTCGCAATCTTCGCACGCGTCCGGACAGCCGTCCGGACTTTCAGGGACTTTAGAAAATGTAACACGCCCTTACGCTTGTGGAGCTTGAATCCTAGGACACTTCCCGGAGGGGTGTAATGCGGTAACTGCGGCTTCTCGAAAGGTCGAGCAGGGAAAGACCATTTTGCGCTCATCGTCGAAGTCAATTGTTTTGCTAAGCCAACTGGTTACCAAGTTCTGCGTTTCGAAATTCCGTGCTCTTTGAACTCCACAAGGGTTGGTAAGAACGCGAAGCAGGGGAGGCGGGTACGCGAAGTAAATGACGTTCGCGTTTGACTTACGACAAATTCTACTCGTCCAATCCCTTGGCTATTCCAACCCCTCTCGTCTCCCATAATCCCATCCCATCCTCTTCCATTGTCTTCTCTTCTCTCCCATCCCTCCACAGGTCCGCTTCTCACCGATGCGTCATGCGCCGCGTGTGCTTGCTTCATTCTTCAGCAGCTCGACGTGGAGACATGTCGTAAAAGGCGGCATGGATGTGGTTGGCACACACTTCGGACAAGCGTGATTCCCTCCCGCCTTTGTAATTTAGTCTTCGTGAAGCTTGGCATAGTAACTATATGTTCCGTCACTGCCAGTGCCCTATCCTAGCCGCAGGTTTAGGAAATCTGCGAGCCTAGACGACCGATTCAACAGAGCTAGCCGTCTCGTTTCTATAATCCCAGGCTGTTGCATCCAGTAGTCCTTCTTCTTAGCGTCGTCGCATTTCTGGTAACCAGTCTTAGTTTCGGATAAAACGGTTAGGAATTTCGGTTGGAAAAACGCGGTTAGATATCCTTGTTAGCTAACCCATATAGCGTCAACCTTTTCCCTCCCCCCACTCCCCCGCTCCGTCCCCCGCGCCTCCCCCCTCCACTTTTCCTTTCCCCCTCTTCCCCTCGGTTCCGCCGTCCAGGCGACGCCTTGGCGATTCATACAGCATTGCCAGGGCCCGTCATCTCGTGCGTATTCCGCATTGCCACGTCATTCCGCCACTAAGTGACGTGTCAAGCTGCCACATGCAACCCTCAAGACCTGGTGAAATCATTGTGCCTCATCTGAACGCGATTTTTCCAGTTTTTTGTTGGCTGCTGAAGTTTAGAACACTGTCGTTTCGGGCCCCCACATCTCCCACCAGCTTCCGTGCCTGCATTTGCCTGCATCAATCCCCACCCCGTTTTCCTCCTGTTCTCTCCGCCCCTCTCTCTCAGTCACTCTCTCCCTGTCCCTCTCTCGCCGTCATTCTCTCCCGTCACTCTCTCCCCGTTCCTCTCTCCCCGTCACTCTCTCCCCGTTCCTCTCTCCCCGTCACTCTCTCCCCGTTCCTCTCTCCCCGTCACTCTCTCCCCGTTCCTCTCTCCCCTTCCCTCTCTCCATCCTTTGCTCTCCATCCCCCTCACTCCGTCCCTCTCTCTCCATCCCTCTCTCTCCGTCCATCTCTCTCTCCCTCTCTCTCCGGTCCTCCTTTTGCAGTGCGTAGAGCGGCGGGTCGCGCAGACGCGACTGTTGGGGCCCCACAACACCGCTTTCAACCACAACACATCCAGAAGTACGCCCACTTTCCGCATCTGCTTTGGTTTTCGTACATGCGCTTTTCTTTTCATTTCCAGTGTTAAAATGCCCTCTTTCTACCATCTTTTGTTCTCCCACCTTCAATCATCATCATTTGTTCTTTAAATAACTCCTGGCATTTAAATTGAGCCGCATTAGGAAGCCATTCAAGTGTGGATATACAGTAACTACTCTCTTCCCCCTTCCCTCCCCATGTGTCCTCTCCACCACTTTCTCCCAATCCACCCACGTTTCCCCTATGTGCTCCCATCAGCCAGGCGTTTCTGAACCCACAGCCGCCAGCACGAGCACCAGCAGCAGCGGCATCAGCCGCAGTGCCGTCAGCAGCGGCAATGGCAGCATCAGTGGCGCATCCTGCTCCTCCTTTCCCTGCCAAATGACCTGGCGGGAGTGGTGCTGCGTGCGCCTGCAGAACCTGTTGCAGCAGGCAGCGCTGAGGGGCGGTGCTGACTGAGGGGCAGCGGCGTGGATGGTGACATGGCATGGCAGCAGATGACCGAGCAGAGGGCAGAGCAGAGGGCAGAGCAGCGGGCAGAGCAGAGGGCAGAGCAGAGGGCAGAGCAGCAGGCCGAGCACAGTGCAGAGCAGGTTAGAGGGGGGCTTACATACAACTGCGCAGCAGAAGGCGTGGGAGTGGGTATGCGAGGATGGTGGCATGGAGAGCAGGTTAGTTGGGGGCTTACAGCCGCGTGCAGCTCGGGCCCATGACCAGCCTCGCCCAGGCAAGTCACAACAAGTGGACCAGTCTCCATTCACCCCCCTCACACTCTTCACCATGCACCTGTGTCAGTGCACACTCGGGTCACACTCTCTCAGTGCCCTCATCTCGCACCTTGCCATTCGCACCCTTATCCTGCACCCATGCCAGCATTTGAGTCTTGCCTGAGGGGAGTCAAGATTTGATGTCGAGGCTTTTCATGGCATTTGAGGTGGCGCATAAATGGTTGCTCCAGGCTGGCCCTTGCTCTCCGTCCATCCCCACCATTCAAGGCCGCTGCCATCTGCATGCTGAAATGCCCTCTTTGCCTCACCTCCCTCACCTCCCTCAGCTCTCTCACCTTCGTCGCCTCTCTCCTCTCCATCTCACCTCCCTCACCTCTTACCTCTCTCCTCTCTATCTCACCTCTCTCACCTCCCTCACCTCCCTCACCTCTCTCACCTCCCTCACGTAGTTTTCCATACAGCTTCCCTCCCGCCTCCCATCAGTTGGAACGGTCCCAACCCATGGGTGGGTGGGGGTGCCGCTAGTGCAAGTGGCCATGGCTGTCGAGGTCGATGCTGCTGAGCTGGCAGTCGCAATCTCCCGACTCCATTTGTCTGTCGGATGATGCTGCATGGTGCCTTGGCTCTCTCTCCTGCAAGTGGCCACGGCTGTTGGTGCTGCTGAGGTGCCGACTGTTTGTATTTCATGGTTGTATTTCATGGTTGAATTTCATGGTTGGATATCATGGTTGAATATCATGATTGAATTTCATGGTTGAGTTTCATGGTTGAATTTCATCACTTTATTGTGTCCATTCCAGGCCGGTTGTGTTCATGCGGCTTGCTGCAGAGCACAATATCCGGAAAATTTCAGCCGTTTCAAAACATACTGGATGCCGTGCATATCAGCCGTTCCAAAACATACGGTACTGGATGCCGTGCATGCACCCTACTATACCTGACATGTTTTAGGCATGACCCATCCCAGTGACCATTCAAATGTTTTAGCTTTAGGGATGCTTCTGTTACTAAGTGAGGAAAGCCAATGATATAGGTAGTGGAAGTACCGGTACAAAATAAAGGCTATGAAACGAGGATGTGATGGAAGTTGAGGCTATGGAAATTGTGATGAGAATGGCGGCAGTGTCAGAGATGGTAACACCAGCAGTAGCAGTCAGCCAGTGAAGCAATCACCCTCAGCATCATTCCTCGAGGTGTTCAAAACCCTCTTTATTAGGGAGTCCCTAACTATCTCCTACGATTGTATTCATTCCTCCCTGCCTTCCTAACCGCAGTGGCCATCTCAGAGTCATTACATCATGGCTAAGCCATAGGATCTTACTGGTGCCTACCTAAATACAATTTTTTTCCGCCCATACACTTCATTCATGCTCCTGGAGAGCACAGACCCATCAGTGTCCTTCACAAGCCTCTCCTGGAACAATCTCAGCTCCTGCAGCGCCTTCAGCGCACTCAAATCCCCCGGCATTGCCTCCAGCTGCACACAGCCTGACAGATCGAGGGATCTGAGCCGCGTGAACTGTGCAGCGGTGGAACATAGGGAACGGATGGGGCTGTCTCGGATCGACAGCTTGTTCAGGCAGGCAAGCTGGGTGAGAGAGGCAGGCAGCTGCTCAAGCTGCTCGCAGCCAATGAGGTGCAGCTCCCGCAGCCTGGATAAAGCACCGATAGCATGCGGCAGAGAAGGCAGTTTGAGCGCGTAGCAAACCAAGCTCGTGAGGTTCTGAAGTTCTGCCACACTCGCTGGCAGCTCCCTCAACTGGCCCGCATATACCAGCTTCAGCTTCCGCAGCTGCGGCAGTGCTGACCCGATGTCGGCCGGCAGCCTTTGGAGACTCAACGCGCTGTCAATGATCAGCGTGCGCAGGCGGGAGAGGAACGTCAAGGCGAATGGAAGCTCCTCAGTATCGTCTGCCAAATTCAGATGCAAATGCTCCAGGTGCGACAGGCTCCTGCTCACAGCGACCCCACACGCCACAGAAACCTCGTCCAGGCGGAGCGTCCGAAGCCCCGTCAGCGTGGAGACGTCTGGCAGAGCCATGGCCTGCTTCTGACTCCAGCTACTTCCCCAACTCAGCCATTCTATGGAAGCCGGCAGGACTTGAGGAGGCTGTGCCAGCCTGTCACATCGGGCCACCTCCAGCCGCTTGAGCCGTGTCAGGCCGTCCAGCCTTGTGGGCACCGAGGCCAGATTCTCGCAGTTAGCAAGAGAGAGAGCTTCAAGGGCAGTGAGGCACGTCACGGACGCTGGAAGGGCCGTGAGCTCACAGCAGGACGAGAGGTGCAGCTCGCGCAGGTTGCTGAGCGACCCCACGCCCTCTGGCAGCAACTCCACGTCGCACCCGTTCAGCTCAAGCCTCGTCAGCGACGCGACCTCCGATAACGAGCACGGGAGATGCCGAGAAAGGTAGCTGTCTCTGAGAAGCAGCGTGTGGAGGTTTCTCAGGCGTCCTATGTCCGCTGGAAGTGCCACGTGCCCCAGGCAGAGAGTCGTGAGAGCCGTGAGGCAGCAGAAGTCTGCTGGCAGCTCGCCAGTTGAGCACGAGAGAGCTGGAAGCAGGAAGAAGGTCTCCAGGGAGCTGAGCTGGCAGACGGAGTCAGGGAGGAATGCCAGCAGCAGAGTATCCAGAACCAGGGTTTTCAGGGCAGTCAAACTCCCGATGTTTTCAGGCAGGCAGCTGAAGCGCTCGCAATCGATGATTAATAAGGTCTCCAGGTGCTCCAGGGAACAGAAATCCTCCGGCAGCTCCTTCAAGGCATCGCAACTGGAAACGGTCAGCTCACGCAGACGCGGCAGCAACTCCGCAATGGCGTCCGGAAGCCGCCTCAATTCTCTGCAACGTGATATCTGCAGCCGTTCTAGACTGGTTAGTGGCCAATCCGACAGCAATCCGACATCAAACGTGGGCCCGGCGGAGAGTGAAACGCTGGTGATGCTGGAAAGACGACGTACACTCGAGAGTTGCTCCCACTCCCTGCAGGTCATATGAAGATTGGTGAGAGAGCTGAGGCTCTCCAAATCTGGAGCTTCTAAGGCGGAGGCGGCTGTTAACGCCAGGGTGTGTAGACGCGTTAGGTGGAAGAAGGAAGCGGGTAGCTCAGTGTCCCGATGGAGGCAGAGCAGTGAAAGCTGCTCCAGCTGCGTGCATCGCTGGAAGAAGCGATCCAGACCAGCCTCGGTGATCGGGTGCTCTTCCTTCGGTCCGACATAGTCCGGATGGTGAGTGATCCAGCGTCCCACGTGGAGAATCTTGAGCTTAGGACACGCCCATGCGAGGTGATTGAGAAAAGTGTCGTTTAGGGTTTCCACGCTGTCGTCGCACAGATGGAGATGGGTGAGGTTCGGGAAGCACGCGACGGTATTCGAGAGTTCTTGGAGGAGAATGGAACGGTTTCGTTCGACGAGGAGGGTGGAGACGTCACGGTGAGCTACATCGCGCCAACGACGGCACACCGACGACACGAGGAAGATCCAGGCAGCGGTTGGAAAGGCGGAGGGGGACGATACTGGATACGCTTCCTCGGGACTGAGATCATCTTCGTCTTCTAAAACGATCGAGCGAAGGTACAGTGGCTTCGGCGACCATGCATGCCGAGACCATAACGTGTCACTGTCGGGTTTCGAAGGTGTAGTAGACTCCGCACAATGCCATAGTAGTATCCTAGCGAGGACGTCGTCGGGAAGGTCGTTAATATGTCTCGCTGTCTCCATCATTTCCCTAGCAGACGAGATTACTAAGGATCTGTGAAAGGATGGTACGCAGCGACCTTGAATCCTAGACCGAGTTTATACAAGCCTGAACGTGACTCATTTGTGATGGTCATTGCGCTGCCTTCCCTTGAACGCAACGCACGCCTCATGTGAGGGTGGATACTCCGTCAGTTTTACAGAAAAGGGTTACCCAAATACCAAGCCAAATTGGTTTTGCTGCGCTAAAGCACCTTCCTATTTCGCTGCCATGTTTTCGCTTTGATTCATATTGGTTCGAAACCTTGCGTGGTCCAACAGAAAGTCAGCGAGCTCAACGAAATCTGGGAAAATCTGAGACGTGACACGGTTTCGTTTAGCGACGAACCAAGCACAATTGGTCCGAGAAACACCGTGTACGAAGGGTCGTTCCAGCTCACTCGTGGGAGCGGTAAGTGCATCTGCCTGGTCCGAAATTGTGGTCAGGCGGGCCCCTTCGCGGACCAGTCGCGGACAAAACACGGACTCTTTGAGGTTCGCGGAATCTCGTTTTGGAGGGAAACCTATGAGCCAACAAATTCACTGGGCTCCTGTTACGGTTTCGTTCGTTTGAGTCGAATCTCGACGACGATGCCGAAACAATTCGCCCAAGCCCTTTCGTGTACGGACCTAACGAGACTCGGTAACACAATCGTAGTAACCAACTCTTTGCCAAGTTTCGTTCATTTCTGGAACCAACCCTTCGCTAAGTCTTCGTTTGGCTCCCTCACATGGCTGACGCTGCAGACCCAGATATCACCTCAGCATTTGCTTCTTTCCAACAGAATACGGCACTTTTCCGCTACCAGTACCCTGACCTGCGACTTCTAAGCTCACATTCCGAGAATCTCATGGCTCCAGACGCGCCAGCTCCGATCGACGTTCATAACGCGTCTCAAATTAAGTGTCGTGAATTCCTCAAACTGGTCATTATCGTCGTAGAAACTGATCTTGTTCCACTTGGACCTGAAATCCTCACACCCATCCCTTCACGGTGATTCCCTTGCCGCTCCACACCCATCCCCATCCCAGCAGCTGGTTCGTTCCCACTCCTAGCACCTACTGCGACAGGCACTGCTGGATCTCGAAGAAGATAATGGCGGACGTGAATCATGGTCGTGCTCAGACGTGGTTACCCGATCAGATGCAAGCATTATTCGCATCCGCCTCGACCAAGCCCCCTCTCCTACTAAAATTCTCAACTTATTTCTGCATTCTGTTAAAGCCGGAGTACAAATCAACGCGGCTCGAGAAATAAAGGTATAGCCTAGCCGATTCAGTAGACCTAGCCGTCTCGTCTCTATAATCTCAGGCTGTCGCCTCCAGTAGTCTTTCTTCTTTAGCGTCTTCGCAACTCTGGTAATAAGTCTATTTGGATAATCCCGTAGAATGTCCGGTTCGGAAAACGCTGTTACAAATTCCCATTAGCTATCCCAGATAGCATCAGCCTTTTTCCTCCCCGTATTCTCCGCCTCCGCCTCTCCCTCCCCCCGCTTCCCCCCCATTCCTCCCAGCTTCCGCCTTTCCACCTGTTTTCCTCGGTTCCGCCGTCCAGGCGACGCCTTAGCAAAACATACAGCATTGCCAGTGCCGTCATCTCGTGCATGCTCGGCATTGCCACGTCATTCCGCCACTACGTGACGTGTCAAGCTGTCCCATCACATGCAACGCTCAACCTGGTGCTTTGACTATGCCTCTTCTAAACAAGAATTTCGTTTCTGG